GGCGCTGGGGTAGAGAATTTGTTCCCTGTGTAGTGCGAGTGTCGCCCGTGTGTATTTCGGTTTTGGTTGCGATCGCGGTGCACCTGCTACCATGATAAAGCGGCGAATATCGCCCTTAGAACGCGAGTGTGATTAAGCACAATCAAAGTGCGCTTGGCGATAAGCCAGCTACCTAGGGAGCCTACATTCCGCTCCTTGGGCTATGCTACCCTAACTCGGGACTATGCTATCCTCCCTATGCTGGGACGCTCATACTGGCCTATGCTGGCTATGCTCAGTCTGCCTTATACTGGCTATGCTCATGCTATACTATGCTGGTGCTTCATACTAGCATACTCGGATTCTAACAATATATACGGATTATGTACACTGTAGCCTAGTTAACATAGTAGCTTGAGATCATTGCTCAGGCGTCGCCAGTATGGGTTTGGATTACGACAATTCGGCCTTTTACTATTTCAGCATGACCATGCTGGGAATTTACGTCATTCCATCGACATGGTGGGCGCTTGGGTACATATATCGCGAGCTACAGCGACGAGAGTGGGCTTTATAACATATGGGAAGACCAGAGTCTGCACAGGTGCGTTGGTGCCCGGGCAGCGACTTGGCGAAGAGGTGCGGACGAGTGCGCTACCGCGCGTCGACTCTCTTGAGAGAGATTCAGCTGCGCGACTGTCATTTTGCAGGTCTAGAGAAGGACAAGGCAAAGCAGCTCAGGGAGCGCCGGTCAGCGCGCAAGTTGCTGACAAAGACATCCTTTCTTCTTCACATCGCACTTTTGACTGTAGCCTGGGCGATTCTCTTGATGTTGATACGAGCAGCAACCAGAGTCTCGCGAACTTTTTCTACCGTAGAACCTAACTAGGAGCTCCCAGGCCCTGACCTTCGATGCGGAGCTTGCGTCCTTCGATCCCTTTAAGATTCTCGGCGTGGACCCAAATGCCGAAGACAAGGAAATTCGCAAAGCTTACCGCAAACTGTCACTCGAGTATCACCCGGACAAGAATCAAGGGAACAAACTGGCGGAGGAGATGTTTATGAAGGTTGCCAAGGCGTATGAGGCATTGACAGATGAAGAAGCCAAGAAAAATTGGCTGGAATATGGCAATCCAGACGGCAAGCAGTCCCTTGAAGTGTCCATCGGCCTTCCCACTTTCCTCCTGGACGAGTCAAACCATTACGCCATCCTCTGTATCTATCTTGGAATCCTTGTCGTAATCATCCCAGCTATTGTTGCCGCATGGTATCAACACTCCCGAAAATTCGGGGAGAATAATGTCATGTATGAGACATATAGCTTCTTTTTGCACGTACTCTCCGAGCACTCGACGGCAAAAATGTTGCCAGAGGTTCTCGCAGGCGCTGCAGAAAATCGGTCAGCCGTTAGTATCGGCGACGGGACTAAGCAAGCTGAGCTCGTACGTCTTATTGCTAAACTGAGGCAAGGATTGATGCACAAGCCGCGTTTCGAGCATCCAGCAGTCCTGAAGGGTAACGCTTTGCTCCATGCTCACATCCACCACCTCGAGCTCTCACCCACGTTACAGTCGGACCTACGCAGTATTTTAGTCAATGCACCTGTCCTTATTGATGCCATGATGGAACTTGCGCAGTCGCAGCGGTGGATGCAGACTTCGGTGAACGTGGTCGACTTTTCGCAGTATCTGACACAAGCGCTTTGGATCAAAGATCACTCGCTGATGCAACTACCGCATATTGGTGAGAAAGAGGTTCAGCACTGTGTTAAGGGTAAAGGTGCTGTCAAAACCCTCCGAGAATACCTTGACGTTGCCGATGAGGAGAAAAAAGGTCTTGCTGCCATGTCGGACATGCAATGCGCCGACGTCATTCGCGTCTGCAACTTGATGCCTGCCCTGCGATGCAAGTTCAAACTTTATGTTGAGGATGAGGCTGAAATTGCTGAACGCGACCTCGTTACCCTGCTTGTGGCATTCGATCGGACGAATTTGGCCGACGGAGAGATGGCGCCACCTGTCCATGCACCCAAGTTTCCCGCAGCTCGCCTTGAGACCTGGTGGGTCCTAGTCTCAGACCGAGCCGGCAATCTAATACTCGCCGACAAAATTGTTACCCAGACGAAGATTGTCGATCACCATGTCAAGTTCCTCGCACCACCCCAAGCTGGAACTTATGTTTTCAATGTTGATCTCAAGTCTTCGGACTACCTTGGCCTTGACATTCGTGAACAGGTGAAAATGAATGTCATTCCTGCAGCCCAGCTGCCCGAGTATGCTGCTCACCCTGATGACCTCAATCTTGATGATGAGCCCACGCTCTTTGAACAGGTGATGTCAGGAAATGCAGATACGGACTCTGAGACAGACGACGACGATGATGATGAACATAATGCTGATGATAAGGATACCACAGACCTACGAGATGAAGCTGCTTTGACTGAGGCTGAGCGCCGCCGACGAAAAGCTCGCATTCAGCGCAAAAGGAAGATCCAAGACAATGCTAAGAATGAGGCAAAGTCTGCTCCCGATGACGTCGGCAGTGAAAATGTCAATGATAGTGATGATGACGAAGATAGCGACGATTAAAATCTCCCGAGGGGCCGCGGTCCGTTCGAAGGCTGCAGCAGAACAAGTGCTGCTGCGCATTTGCAAACCAGCAGTGTGTCAACCTTACTTGGCGACACATTGATTCGCCCCTAGCGTGAGTAAATCGGAAATAGAGCACCACCGCCATCCCAGTGGAGTCAACGGACCAGGGGCAGCCAACGGACCAGGGGCAGCCAAAGCAGAAAACAAGAAGCTCAATGAGGGCAACTCTGCGATGTATGCGCACAGCCGGCATCAGCGAAACGCACCCTTACCTAGAATTCACTCAGCTGAATGAACTGCTGGGGTGTTGATGCTCCTCGGCGCACAGCTATTATCGAAGTCAACACGGCATCTAATTAAATGGCCTGGCGTGCCCACAGCCGGGTAGTTGGCTCCGGGATTACCCCAAGGCTCCAGAACACGACAATCCCAAGTACTGCTCGAGCGCGGGAAATACGACGCTTTCTCGTTTGCCCCCCCCTTGCCCCCCGGGGGGGGCTGGCTAACGAGAGTAAACTATGGGATAGGGAGGCAGCCTAGTGGGGCTGGCTAGTGGGGCTGCCCACGGGGCTGCCCTAGCCCGCGGGAAATTCGACGCGCTCTAGTTTGGGGGCCGCCCGCAGGGGCCGCCCAGCCCGCGGGAAATTCGACGCTTTCTAGTTTGGACCCCGCCCGCCCCCCCGGCGCCTGAGTAAAGCCCCCAGCCGCCGACCAAAAACTCTCGGGGGCGTTTCGGGTTCCTTGGGGCCCCGTCCGGCGCAGGGGGGGGGTTCTGGGCGGGGTCACGGTCCTGCTGGCGGCCGCGGCCGCGGGGCCGCGGAGAAATTTTTTACTACATCGACCTGGGCCCAAATGACAACCTTAAATCTTACAGTGTCACTAAGCCTGTCGAAAAACGCCGCAGTTTCCCAGGGTACTACGACGAGAAAGGTACCTCGTACACCAGGAAACGCAACACGACTCCGTTGCGTCCGAATAGTAATGAATATAAGGAAGGTTATACTGCTGACCGCATTGTGATCATAGCCATTGAAGGATTGGTTTATGCAGAAGGGCGGGAAAGTGCCTCCCGAGTGTGTCTGAAAGTGAACGCCTTTTTGAAATAATTACAAGTCCCAGTGAATTACTTGGATGTTACTCACTTAACCTACTCAAGCGATCGGAGATGGAAAGCCCCGATTCAACTAGCCTGCGGGCCTGAGTAGGCAGCCTACATAATCACTACCATACCCTAGTCCTAGAGTCGGGCTGAGGGTAAACTTCCTTTATAGCTGCCCTGCCGTCCGAGGGTGGACTATCGAGGCTACGCAGTGGCGGTACACCGGCGTCTCTGTTATCCTCACGGTAACTCAGCTGCCGTAGTATACGGGGGCCGGGGCTACTGGACGAACGGGCAGAGGATCTGCCTCACTAGGTCCACGAAGACTCTCCGTCTATTACAGTGCGGGACGCATAGAGCAATACTGCCTCTGGAGGATACTCCTCCAGTGCGTTAATCTGCTCGCAATGGGTGATGACCCGTGGCAGAATTCAGAAGAGCTTGCATTTATACCTGAACAAGTTGAGCCAATGCTAACTAATGTACTGGCAGCGGTGCTGGCCAATGAAGTCTACGAGGACGCAAAGGTGCCCGTGTGGATAGATTCCATCTGCGAGAAATCTATGGAATCACTCGCGAAATTGAGCAAGCCTTTTAAATACATAGGTAGACATCTGCGAATTTTCCCATATATAGATATAACATTTCACGTAGTTACATGTCTCATCATACAAAAGAACGGCGCTGGAATACACAGCGCACAATCCTGCTTTTGGGACGTCAGGTAGCCATTCAGCCGTGTTTATCAGTCTTTTCATTGGTGCCTGTAGCAACGACAACTGTGCTAGAGTCGCGTATCCGCTAGCTAATAAACGTGAAGTCCAAGATAGTCGAATGTAAGACTGTCTTATTTAATAAGACTGGTCACATGCTAAGCAAGGTATTGTGTCGTGACATGCTTCGGAGTCGCAATGTGATTTCACGAAGGCGAGATCGTCCTTGAGTTCTCATGAGATCCTCTCGTAACGGTGGCCTGTATATGGCACAGCCAAGCCTGAGACCCCATGAAGGTGCCGGTCACCTGGAGGGCGCGCCAAGGACGAAAGCTGGTGGTATAGAGAGAGAGAGAATAGAGAGTTCCAGCTCCAGTTGGGGGAGAGTACCAGAGCCCCCCTAGTTCGGCCCCTTCCACCCCCCCCCACCCCCCCCCCGGCGGTTTGTGGACTCTGCTGGAGCCTCCGGAGGAGGCGCTTCCTTCCCTCCAACCGCTGAACCCCCCACAGCGCCCGGCGCCGGGGGCGGGGCCGCCCCGTCCCCGATAGCGCCTGTCAGCAAGGCATACGAGCCTCTCGGCGGCCGACCCCCCAACAAATATCTGCCCCTCCCCTCCAAAAGAAAGACCCAGGCCCAAACCCTCATCTTAGTGAACTTCGTTGAACGGCACCTTGACGTCAACGTTGCAGTGCACTTTACCCCACTGCGCTTCTGCTGCGCATCCTGCTAGTATCCACCTTCAGGTCTTAATAGACGGCGAACCTGAAGGAGTGTGACCTCCGCAGAGGCAGAAGTAGCACATGAGCTATATAGCACCTTTACTCGTATAATTCT